CAGAAATGACCCCAAAAGGATACGGGACGAGCAGGGGCTGCCCCAAACCCCAGAGGTGACCCCAAAACCCCAGAAATGACCCCAAAAGGATACGGGACGAGCAGGAGGTGGCCCCTGAGGAGGTGCCGCAGGATCCGGGCCCGGTTGTGCCCCCCAAGTCCCCCCTGGAGCAGCTCAGCCCGACACGGCAGCAGCTCCTGGGCCAGCGCGGCCAGCTGGGCAGCTGCAACACAGAGCACCCCAAATCACCCCAAAATGTCCCCAAAATCATCCCAAAAATGTACCCAAATCACCCCAAAATAATCCCAAAATCACCCCAAAATCATCCCAAAAATGTCCCGAAAATTATCCCAAAAATGTCCCCAAAAAATCCCAAAATCACACCAAAAATGTCCCCAAAATCACCCCAAAAATGTCCCCAAGTAATCCCAAAATCACCCCAAAATCACCCCAAAAATGTCCCCAGAATCACCCCAAAAATGTCCCCAGATAATCCCAAAAATGTACCCAGATAATCCCAAAATCATCCCAAAACCATCCCAAAATCACCCCAATAATGTCCCCAAATAATCCCAAAACTATCCCAAAAACGTCCCCAAAATCATCCCAAAAATGTCCTCAGATAATCCCAAAACCATCCCAAAATCATCCCAAAAATGTCCCCAAAATCACCCCAAAAATGTCCCCAAAATCACCCCAAAAATGTCCCCAAATCATCCCAAAAATGTCCCCAAAATCACCCGAAAAATGTCCCCAGATAATCCCAAAACGTCCCCAAAATCACCCCAAAAATGTCCCAAAATCATCCCAAAAATGTCCCCAAAATCACCCCAAAAATGTCCCCAAAATTATCCCAAAAATGTCCCCAAAATCACCCCAAAAATGTCCCCAGATAATCCCAAAATCACCCAAAAAATGTCCCCAAAATCACCCCAAAACCATCCCAAAATCACCCCAAAAATGTCCCCCAAATCATCCCAAAAATGTCCTCAGATAATCCCAAAATCATCCCAAAATCACCCCAAAAATGTCCCCAAATCACCCCAAAAATGTTACTAAAATCACCCCAAAACCATCCACAAATAATCCCAAAAATGTCCCCAAAATCATCCCAAAAATGTCCCCAGATAATCCCAAAATCATCCCAAAACCAGCCTGAAATAATCCCCAAAACAGCCTGAAAACATCCCAAAAAATACCCCAAAATAATCCCAAAAATGTCCCCAGATAATCCCAAAATCACCCCAAAAATGTCCCCAGATAATCCCAAAATAATCCCAAAAATGTCCCCAAATCATCCCAAAAATGTCCCCAAAAATGTCCCCAAATCATCCCAAAATAATCCCAAAACCAGCCTGAAATAATCCCAAAAACAGCCTGAAAACATCCCAAAAATACCCCAAAATAATCCCAAAAACATCCTAAAAAATTCCCCCAAAACCACATTAAAATCACCCCAAACCCCTCAAACCCCACCAAAACCCCCCAAATCCCCAAAATCCCCCAAAAATCCCCCAAATCCCCCCAAAAATCCCCAAAAATCCCCCAAAAATCCCCATATCCCCCAAAACTCCTCCAAAAATCCCCCAAAAATCCTCCCCAAACCCCTCCCCAAATCCCCTCAGGACCCCCTCAGGATCCCCTAAAATCCCCCCAAAACTTCCCCAAAATCCCCCAAAATCCCCAAAATCCCCCCAAAAATCCCCCAAATCCTCCCAAAATTCACCCAAAATCCCCCAAAATCTCCTCAAATCGCCCCAAAATCCCCTCAAACCCCCAGAAAAATCCCCCAAACCCCTCCCCAAATCCCCTCAAAACCCCCTCAGGACCCCCTAAAATCCCCTCAAAACCCTCCCAGATCCTCCCAAAAATCCCCACAAAATGCCCCAAAATCCCCCAAATTTCCCCAAAATCCCCCCAAAAATCCCCAAAATCCACCCAAAATCCCCCAAAATCTCCTCAAATCGCCCCAAAATCCCCTCAAACCCCCAGAAAATCCCCCAAACCCCCCCCAAACCCCCTCAGGACCCCCCTAAAATCCCCCCAAAACCCTCCCAGATCCTCCGAAAAATCCCGACAAAATCGCCCCCAAATCCCCCAAAAATCCCCCCAAAAATCCCCAAAATCCTCCCAAAATTCACCCAAAATCCCTCTAAATCTCCTCAAATTACCCCAAAATCCCCCAAACCCCCCCCCAAATCCCCTCAGGACCCCCCTAAAATCCCCCTAAAACCCTCCCAGATCCTCCCAATAATCCCCACAAAATGCCCCCAAAATCCCTCAAAATCGCCCCAAAATCCCCCCAAAAATCCCCAAAATCCTCCCAAAATTCACCCAAAATCCCTCTAAATCTCCTCAAATCGCCCCAAAATCCCCTCAAACCCCCAGAAAAATCCCCCAAACCCCTCCCCAAATCCCCTCAGGACCCCCCCAAAATCCCCCCAAAACCCTCCCAGATCCTCCCAAAAATCCCCACAAAATGCCCCCAAAATCCCTCAAAAATCCCCCAAATGCCCCCCAAAAATCCCCAAAATCCTCCCAAAATTCACCCAAAATCCCCTAAAATCCTCCCCAAATCAACTCAAATCCCCCCAACACCCACTGAAAACCCTCCAAGGCCTCCCCAAAAAACTCCAAAATTTCCCCCCCAAAAACCCCAACAAGACCCCCACAAATGACCCATAATCCCCTCAAATCCTCCCAAAATTCACCCAAAACTGCCCCAAAGGCTTCCCCAGACACCCCAAATTCCCCAAAATTCTCCCAAAATCCCCCAAACCCCACCCAAATACCCCCAAAACCCCCTCAGGACCCCCTAAAATCCCCCCAAAACCCTCCCCAAATCCCCTCAGGACCCCCTAACACCACCCCAAAACCCTCCCAGATCCCCCCAAAATCCCCAAAATCCCCCAAATTTTCCCAAAATCGCCCCAAAACCCCCAAAAACCCCCCAAATCCCACCTGAGAACATCTCCCCCTGGCGGGTGCAGCCCCTGACCCGCGCTGTCTCCAGCAGAGCCCCCAGACCCAAATCCCCCTTAAATCTCCCCTAAATCCCCCAAAATCCCCCCAAAATCGCCCCAAAATCCCCCAAATCCTCCCAAAATTCACCCAAAACCCCCCAAAATCTCCTCAAATCGCCCCAAAATCCCCTCAAACCCCCAGAAAAATCCCCCAGACCCCTCCCCAAACCCCCTGAGGACCCCCCTAAAATCCCCTCAAAACCCTCCCAGATCCTCCCAAAAATCCCCACAAAATGCCCCCAAATCCCCAAAAAATCCCCCAAATCCCCCCAAAAATCCCCAAAATCCTCCCAAAATTCACCCAAATTCCCTCTAAATCTCTTCAAATCACCCCAAAATCCCCTCAAACCCCCAGAAAAATCCCCCAAATCCCCCCCAAATCCCCTCAGGACCCCCCTAAAATGCCCCCAAAACCCTCCCAGATCCTCCCAAAAATCCCCACAAAATGCCCCAAAATCCCCCAAAAAATCCCCCAAATCCCCCCAAAAACCTCCAAAATCCTCTCCAAATCCCCCAAAATCTCTTCAAATTGCCCCAAAATCCCCTCAAACCCCCAGAAAAATCCCCCAAACCCACCCCAAATCCCCTCAGGACCCCCCTAAAATCCCCCTAAAACCCTCCCAGATCCTCCCAAAAATCCCCACAAAATGCCCCCAAAATCCCTCAAAATCGCCCCAAAATCCCCCAAAATCGCCCAAAATCCTCCCAAAATTCACCCAAAATCCCCCAAAATCTCCTCAAATCGCCGCAAAATCCTCTCAACCCCCCAGAAAAATCCCCCAAACCCCCCCCAAATCCCCTCAGGACCCCCTAACACCACCCCAAAACCCTCCCAGATCCTCCCAATAATCCCCACAAAATCGCCCCAAAATCCCCCAAAAATCCCCAAAATCCCCCCAAAAATCCCCAAAATCCTCCCAAAATTCACCCAAAATCCCTCTAAATCTCCTCAAATTACCCCAAAATCCCCTCAAACCCCCAGAAAAATCCCCTCAAAACCCCTCCCCAAATCCCCTCAGGACCCCCTAAAATCCCCCCAAGATCCTCCCAGATCCTCCCAAAATCCCCACAAAATGCCCCCAAATCCCAAAAAAATCCCCCAAATCCCCCCAAAAATCCCCAAAATCCTCCCAAAATTCACCCCAAATCCCCCAAAATCTCCTCAAATCGCCCCAAAACCCCCTCAGGACCCCCAAAATCCCCCAAAATTCCCTCAGGAGCCCCCTAAAATCCTCCCAAAACCCTCCCAGATCCTCCCAAAAATCCCCACAAAATGCCCCCAAATCCCCAAAAAATCCCCCAAATCCCCCCAAAAATCCCCAAAATCCCCCCAAAATTCACCCAAAATCCCCCAAAATCTCCTCAAATCCCCTCAAACCCCCAGAAAAATCCCCCAAATCCCCCCCAAATCCCCCCAAAACCCCCTCAGGACCCCCTAACACCGCCCCAAAACCCTCCCAGATCCCCCCAAATCCCCCCTAATTCCCCCAAAATCCCTCCAAAACTCCCCCCTAAAATGCCCCAAAATCCCCAAAATCCTCCCAAAATTCACCCAAAATCCCCCAAAATCCCCTCAAATCGCCCCAAAATCCCCTCAAAGCCCCAGAAAAATCCCCCAAACCCCTCCCCAAATCCCCCCAAAACCCCCTCAGGACCCCCCTAAAATCCCCCCAAAACCCTCCCAGATCCTCCAAAAAATCCACACAAAATGCCCCCAAAATCCCCCATATTTCCCCAAAATCCCCCAAAATCCTCCCAAAATTCACCCAAAATCCCTCTAAATCTCCTCAAATTACCCCAAAATCCCCCAAACCCCCCCCAGATCCCCTCAGGACCCCCTAAAATCCCCCCAAAACCATCCCATATCCTCCCAAATTTCCCCACAAAATCGCCCCAAAATCCCCAAAAATCGCCCCAAATATCCCCAAAATCCTCCCAAAATCCCCAAAATCTCTTCAAATCGCCCCAAAATCCCCTCAAACCCCCAGAAAAATCCCCCAAACCCCTCCCCAAATCCCCTCAGGACCCCCTAAAATCCCCCCAAAACCCTCCCAGATCCTCCCAAAATCCCCCAAAAATCCCCAAAATCCCCCAAAAATCCCCCAAATCCCCCCAAAAATCCCCAAAATCCTCCAAAATCCTCCCAAAATCTCCCAAAATCTCCTCAAATCGCCCCAAAATCCCCTCAAACCCCCAGAAAAATCCCAGAAACCCCCCCCAAATCCCCTCAAAACTGCCTCAGGACCCCCTAAAATCCCCCCAAAACTTCCCCCAAAATCCCTCAAAATCGCCCCAAAACCCCCAAAAATGCCCCAAAACCCCCAAAAATCCCCAAATCCCACCTGAGAACATCTCCCCCTGGCGGGTGTAGCCCCTGGCCCGTGCTGGATCCAGCAGAGCCCCCAGACCCAAATCCCCCCTAAATCCTCCAAAATCCCTCCAAAACTCCCCCCTAAAATGCCCTAAAATCCCCCAAATCCTCCAAAATCCTCCCAAAACCCCCCAAAATCTCTTCAAATCGCCCCAAAATCCCCTCAAACCCCCAGAAAAATCCCCAAACCCCCCCCCAAATGCCCTCAAAACCCCCTAAAATCCCCCTAAAACCCTCCCAGATCCTCCCAAAAAGCCCCCAAAATCCCCCAAATTTCCCCAAAAATCCCCAAAATCCCTCAAAATCACCCCAAAATCCTCCCAAAATTCACCCAAAATCCCTCTAAATCTCCTCAAATTACCCCAAAATCCCCCAAACACCCCCCAAAAACCCTCCAAGGCCTCCCCAAAATCCCCCAAAAAACCCCAAAATTTCCCCCCCAAAAAACCCAACAAGACCCCCACAAATGACCCATAATCCCCTCAAATCCTCCCAAAATTCACCCAAAACTGCCCCAAAGGCTCCCCAGACACCCCAAATTCCCCAAAATTCTCCCAAAATCCCCCAAACCCCACCCAAATACCCCCAAAACCCCCTCAGGACCCCCTAAAATCCCCCCAAAACCCTCCCAGATCCTCCCAATAATCCCCACAAAATCGCCCCAAAATCCCCCAAAAATCCCCAAAATCCCCCCCAAAATCCCCCAAATCCTCCCAAAATTCACCCAAAATCCCCTCAAATCACCCCAAAATCCCCTCAAACCCCCAGAAAAATCCCCCAAACCTCCTCCCCAAATCCCCTCAAAACCCCCTCAGGACCCCCCTAAAATCCCCCCAAAACCCTCCCAGATCCTCCCAAAAAAACCCCACAAAATGCCCCCAAATCCCCCCAAAAATCCCCAAAATCCTCCCAAAATTCACCCAAAACCCCCCAAAATCTCCTCAAATCGCCCCAAAATCCCCTCAAATCACCCCAAAATCCCCTCAAACCCCCAGAAAAATCCCCCAAATCCCCTCAGGACCCCCCTAAAATCCCCCCAAAACCCTCCCAGATCCTCCCAAAAATCCCCACAAAATGCCCCCAAAATCCCCCAAAATCGCCCCAAAATCCCCCAAATTTCCCCAAAAATCCCCAAATCCCACCTGAGAACATCTCCCCCTGGCGGGTGTAGCCCCTGGCCCGCGCTGTCTCCAGCAGAGCCCCCAGACTCAATTGGGGCCGGGTGGGCGCCAGCACTGCCCCCGCCATGGCCAGGGCCACCAGCCCGCACCTGCAGAGGGAATTTTGGGGATTTTTGGGGAATTTTGGGGGTTTTTGGGGATTTTGGGGAAATTTGGGGCATTTTTTGGGGGGTTTTGGGGATGTTTGGGGGGTTTAGGGGCAGATTTGAGGGGGATTTTGGGGTGATTTTGGGAGGATTTATTGGGTTTTGGGAGGGTGTGGAGAGATTCTTGAAGAATTTTGGGCAGATTTTTGGGCGATTTTGAAGGGATTTTCGGGCATTTTTGGGCATTTTTGGGGGGGTTTGGGGGTTTAGGGGCAGATTTGGGGGGATTTGGGGGGATATTAGGCGATATTTGAGGGGTTTTGTTGGGTTTGGGGGGATTTTGGGCAATATTTGGGGGATTTCTTGGATTTGGGGGGGATTTTATGATTTTTGGGGAGGTTTGGGGGGATTTGTTGGTTTTGGGGGGATTTGGGGAGATTTTGGGGGAATTTTGAGGGGATTTGAGGCAGATTTGGAGAGGATTTTGGTGTTTTGGGGGTTTTGAGGGGATTTGCTGCGTTTGGGGTTTCTGGGGTGATTTTGGGGGGGTTTATTAGGTTTTGGGAGGGTGTGGAGAGATTCTTGGGGAATTTTGGGGGGATTTGGGGAGGATTTTTGGGCGATTTTGAGCATTTTTGGGGGGTTTGGGGGTTTAGGGGCAGATTTGGGGGGATTTGGGGGGGATATTAGAGGATATTTGAGGGGTTTTGTTGGGTTTGGGGGATTTTGGGCAATATTTGGGGGGATTTCTTGGATTTGGGGGGATTTGGGGATTTTTGGGGGGGGGTTGGGGGGATTTGTTGGTTTTGGGGGGATTTGGGGAGATTTTGGGGGAATTTTGAGGGGATTTGGGGCAGTTTGGAAAAGGATTTTGGTGTTTTGGGGGTTTTGAGGGGATTTCGTGGGTCTTAGGGATTTGGGGTTTCTGGGGTGATTTTGGGAGGATTTATTGGGTTTTGGGAGGGTGTGGAGAGATTCTTGGGGAATTTTGGGGGGATTTGGGGAGGATTTTTGGGCGATTTTGAGCATTTTTAGGGGGGTTTGGGGGCTTAGGGGCAGATTTGGGAGGATTTGGGGGGATATTAGGCGATATTTGAGGGGGTTTGTTGGGTTTGGGGGGATTTTGGGCAATATTTGGGGGGATTTCTTGGGTTTGGGGGGATTTTGGGATTTTTGGGGGGAGTTGGGAAGATTTGGGGAGATTTTGGGGGAATTTTGAGGGGATTTGGGGCAGATTTGGAGAGGATTTTGGTGTTTTGGGGGTTTTGAGGGGATTTGCTGGGTTTGAGGGATTTGGGGTTTCTGGGGTGATTTTGGGGGGGTTTATTGGGTTTTTGGGGGCTTGTGGAGAGATTTTGGAGAAATTTTGGTGGAATTTGGGGGATTTGGGGGGATTTTGGGTATTTTGGGGTATTTTGGGGGGGTCTTGGGGGGTTTGGGTAATTTTTGGGGAGTTTTTGGGGGGGTTGGGGTTTTTTTTGGGCTTTTGGGGTGATTTGGGGTTTTTTGGGGGGGAGTTTTGGTGGTTTTGTGGGGATTTTGGGGATTTCAGGGGGATTTTGGGAGATTTCAGTGTTTTGGGGGGGATTTTAGGGTTTTGGGAGATTTTGGGATGTTTGGGGGGGGTTTATGGTTTTTTGGGGGCATTTTGGTGGACTTCAGGGTTTTTTGGGGGGGATTTTGGGGTTTTGGGGGGGATTTGAGGTTTTTTGGGTTTTGGGGTGATTTTGAGCTGATTTTTTGGTTTTTTGGGACTCACTGGGGTCCATCCTGGATCAGGGGCGGCACCGGCCGGTGGAACAGGAGCCACTTCCAGGGACCCGCGAGGCTTTTTGGGGAGGGGGCACCACGTGAGACCCCCAAAAAATGGGGAACCCATCCCAAAACCCAGCCCGGGACCCCTCCCCAAATTCCCCCCAAAATCCCACTCGGGACCCTCCCAAGACTCCCCAAATCCTTTCAGGACCCCTCCCCAAATCTCCTCCAAAACTCCCATCTCCCCTCCAGGACCTCTCCCCAAAATCCCCCAGATTCCCCCCAAAACCCCCCCCAAGCCTCCCCAAGACCCCCTCCTCAAAATCCCCCAGGACCCCTCCCCAAATCCCCCCCAAATCCCTTCCCAAAATCCCCTTCAAATCCCTCGAGGACCCCTCCCCAAATTCATTCCCAAGGACCCTCCAAACCCCCCCCCAGGACCCCACCCCAAATCCCCCCAGGACCCCTCCCCAAATCCCCCCCAGACCTTTTCAGGACCCTTCCCCAAATTCCAGTCTAAGACCCCTCCCCAAAACCCCCCAAGGACCCCCCAAAATCCCCCCCAAAAAAACCCGCCAGACCCCTCCCCAAACCCCCCCAGACCCCTTCAGGACCCCTCCCCAAATTCCCCTCAGGACCCCCCCACAAAGAACCCCCAAACCCCTCCCCAAATCCCTTCTCAAGGACCCTCCAAAATCCCCCAGGACCCCTCCCCAAAATTCCCCAGGACCCCTCCCCAAATCAACTCAAATCCACACCAAAACCCTCCTAGACCCTTCCCCAAAACCCACTCAGGACCCCTCCCCAAATCCCCCCAAGACCCCCTAAAAAACCCCCTCACGACCCCTCCCCAAATCCCCCCAGGTCCCCTCCCTAAAACCCCCCAAAGACCCCCCAAATCCCCTCCAAAATACCCCAAACACCCCAAAATCCCTCTCAAATCTCCCCAAGACCCCTCCCCAAAACCCTCTCAGGACCCCTCCCCAAATCCCAAGACCCCCTAAAAAACCCCCCCAGACCCCTCCCCAAATCCCCCCAGGTCCCCCCCTAAAACCCCCCAAACCCCCTCCAAAATACCCCAAACACACCAAAATCCCTCTCAAATCTCCCCAAGACCCCTCCCCAAAACCCCCTCAGGACCCCTCCCCAAATCCCCCCAAGACCCCCTAAAAAACCCCCCCAAACCCCTCCCCAAATCCCCCCAGGTCCCTTCCCTAAAACCCCCCAAAGACCCCCCAAACCCCCTCCAAAATACCCCAAACACCCCAAAATCCCTCTCAAATCTCCCCAAGACCCCTCCCCAAAACCCCCTCAGGACCCCTCCCCAAATCCCCCCAAGACCCCCTAAAAAACCCCCTCAGGACCCCTCCCCAAATCCCCCCAGGTCCCTTCCCTAAAACCCCCCAAAGACCCCCCAAACCCCCTCCAAAATACCCCAAACACCCCAAAATCCCTCTCAAATCTCCCCAAGACCCCTCCCCAAAACCCCCTCACGACCCCTCCCCAAATCCCCTTACGACCCCTCCCCAAATCCCCTCACGACCCCTCCCCTCAGACCCCCCCCGCCCCTTTCCCACCTGTCCCTCCGCCGCCTCAGCAGCTCCCGGATCCCTCCGTCCTCTCCCAGCGCCTCCGCCGCTCTCTGCAGCGCCTCCCGCAGGACCCGCTCGAGCCCGGGGCCGCTCCCGGGGAGGCTCCCGGGGGTCCCTGAGGGGCTCCCGGGGGTCCCTGAGGGGCTCCCGGAGGTCCCGGGGAGCGGCGGCGGCGGCGGCGGCGGCGGAGGCGGGGGAGGGGGCGACCGCTCCATGCCCGGCCCCGGCCTCAGGGGGCGCCTATGATTGGCTGGAGCAGAGCGCGGGAGGCGGGAGTTGCTGAGGGGAGGCGCGCGATGATTGGTTGGTTTGCTGTAGAGCGCACTGATTAGTTGGTTCGGAGGGCAGAAAGAGGGAGTTGCTGAGGGGAGACGCGCGGTGATTGGTTGGTTAAGAGGGCGGGAAGAGGAGGGCGCTGAGGGGACACGCTGATTGGTTGGTTAAGTGGGCGGGAAGAGGAGGGCGCTGAGGGGAGACGCGCGGTGATTGGTTGGTTCGGAGGGCGGGAAGAGGAAGGTTCTGAGGGGAGACGCGCGGTGATTGGTTGGTTCGGAGGGCGGGAAGAGGAAGGTTCTGAGGGGATGCGCGCGCTGATTGGTTGGTTCGAAGGGCGGGAACCGAAAGGTGCTGAGGTGAGACAAACAGTGATTGGTTGGTTCGGAGGGCGGGAACAGGAGGGTGCTGAGGTGAGACATGCAGTGATTGGTTGGTTTGGAGGGCGGGAAGAGAGAGTTGCTGAGGGGAGACACGCAGTGATTGGTTGGTTCAGAGGGCGGGAACAGGAGGCTGCTGAGGGGAGACACGCGGTGATTGGTTAGTTCGAAAGGCGGGAAGAGGAGGGTGCTGAGGGGAGACGCAGTGATTGGTTGGTTCGGAGGGCGGGAACAGAAAGGTGCTGAGGGGAGACACGCAGTGATTGGTTGGTTCGGAGGGCGGGAAAAGGAGGGTGCTGAGGGGAGGCGCGCGCTGATTGGTTGGCTCAGAGGGCGGGAAGAGGAGGGTGCTGAGGGGAGACACGCAGTGATTGGTTGGTTTTGGAGATGAAGCGCAGTGATTGGCTGATAAAAGCGCGGGATTTTTAAGGGAATATTCCCGTTTTTTGGGAATGGAAATTCCTGAAATTTTTTGAGAAAAATTCCCGGGTTTTGCAGGGGAAACATTTCTGATTTTTTGGGAAAAATTCCCGCAATTTTTGGGGGAAAATTCCTGGATTTTTTTTGACCGCAAATAAACCCAAGGACACCTAAATAAACCCCAAATACACCAACTTAAACCCAAATAACCCACAATAAACCCAAATAACCCCAAATGAACTCCAAGTAAACCCAAATAACCCCAAAAGACCCCAAAAATCCCCAAATACATGCAATTAACCCCAAATAAACCCAAATACAGCCCAATAAACAATAACAAACCCCAAATAAACCCAAATAACTCAAAATAACCCCAAATAAACCAATTTAAACCCGTAAATACACGCAAGTACTCCCTAAAATCCCCCAAATAAATCCAAATAAAACCTAAAAAAAAAACCCTAAAAACCCCAAATAGACACAAATAAACCAAATTAAACCCAAAACAAACCCAAGTAATCCCCAAATAAATCCCAAATAATCCTTAAATAAACTCAAATACATCCAACCAAACGCCAAAACACCCCAAAAGAAACCCCAAATAATCACAAACAAACCAAATTAAGCCCAAAATACACCCAACTAATCCCCAAATGGACCCCAAATAATCCCTAAAAAAACCCAAAAAAACCCTAGTTCCCCTCGTCCCCACCCCTAAACAGATCCTGGCCAATCAGAGCGCGCCCCTGATGACGATACAGTTGCCGGGCAGAATCCCAGGTCACTGGCCACGCCCAGATATTTTCAGCCAATCAGATCGCGAAGCAGCTCTACCTTTGTATTGCTCCGTGGATCCCAGCGTCCCTCACAACGCCAGCCAATCAGAGACCGCGCGGTTAAAATCAAGAGCGAATCAAGAGCGTTTCTCGCTGATGACTCATCAGTTGCCAGGAGCGGAATTTGGAGAAGGGGGAGGTGACACTGAGGGTGGGGATGGGGCTGCGGGGGCAGCAGGGGAGGAACTGGTGGCACTGGTGGTACTGGGAGCACCCCTGGCCGCGGGAGCTCCTACCAATTAATCAATTTTAATATTTGCAAAAAGACAATATTATAATGTGCATCTATAAAATATACATATATCAGCTATTTATAGTATGTATATTATATATATATCTGAGTACATTAAATATATACTAGATTTTTTATATAAAATAAATATTTTTAGTCTATATAAAAATATATATTTATATTTTATACATTATATACTATAAATAAAATATGTTTTTTTAGGTTATATACGACATTATTATATAATCCTATATTAATATGTTATAGGATATATATAATAATAATAACTATGCAATTGTCTTGGTTTAAAAAGCCAGGTGTCTGCTGAGAAGGGCAGGAACCTCCCCTGAAAAAGAAAGTATCCATCCCTGAAAATTATTATACTTATTATAATTATTATAATTATTATAATTTTGAAATTAAGAGGCTTTCAGGAAAAGATATGGGACCAGGAATACCAGTTCTTTATTAGGAAAAACTAAAAATACAAATGCAAAGTGGGAAAAGGTGATCCTCTGGGAATCCAGTGGGGAAAGGGTGATCCACTGGGAATCCAGTGGGGAAAGGGCTGATCCACTGAGAATCCATTTGGAAAAGGGATAATCCATTGGGAATCCAGTGGGAAAAGGGTGATCCTGTGGCACTCCACACAGAATGTGTCTCCAAATCCTAAATTCCCCCTTAACTGCCTGTGCAATGCTGGGACTTCAGGAATTTTTGATCAATTTCTTTCATATAACCCCATTCAGGCTGATTTGAGGGATGAAGATGAAGCAGAGGAAAATTAAGGCCAAAGCAAAAGAAAAGCCAGCCAGGTGTGTTCCCAACATGGAAAACGGGGAATGTGGGTCACCAGCACCCTGCCCAGCGTCGCTCCTCTGGGGATGGGGGCAGCTGGAGCAGCGCATGAAGCTCTTTGACACTCGGGGCACTCGCAAGGCTTCCCTTACCGGTGACTCGGTTGGTGTCGGGTCAACGTAGAGCTCCTGGAGAATCTCTTCCCACACTTCGAACACTCGTAGGGCCTCTCTCGGTGTGGATCCTCTGGTGCTTGATGAGGTCTGAGTTTTGCCTGAATCCCTTCCCACAGTCGGGGCAGCGGAAGGGCCTCTCCTCTGTGTGACTCCGATAGTGCCGGAGGAGACAGGAGCTGGTCTGAAACCTCTTCCCACACTCAGAACACTCGTAGGGCCTCTCCCCGGTGTGGATCCTCTGGTGCTTGATGAGGTCTGAGTTGTTCCTGAATCCCTTCCCGCAGTCGGGGCAGCAGAAGGGCCTCTCCTCTGTGTGACTCCGATAGTGCCGGAGGAGACAGGAGCTGGTTGGAAACCTCTTCCCACACTTGGAACACTCGTAGGGCTTCTCCCCGGTGTGGATGCGCCAGTGCGTAATCAGGCTGGAGCTCTGTGAGAATCTGTTCCCACACTTGGAACACTCGTAGGGCCTCTCCCCGGTGTGGCTCACCATGTGCTTGATCAGGTTGGACCTCTGGGTGAAGCTCTTCCCACACTCAGAACACTCGTAGGGCCTCTCCCCGGTGTGGATCCTTTGGTGCATAATAAGCTCACACCTCCACCTGAAGCCCTTCCCACACTCCGAGCACTTGTGGGGCTTCTCCCCATCATGGAGCTGCTCAGGGACCCCCAGCTCCGAGCTCTGGCTCCATCTCCGGCCGCCTCCCCGGCCCAGGGTGGGTCTTTCCCCCTCAGATCCCCGCGATCTGCCTTTGCAGCCCCTCCTCGTGCGGGATCTCCGGGGCTTTTCCTCCCCGTCGGGTTCCTGCGCCGTGGAGCCGCTCAAAACGGCCTCTCCCACCAGGTTCTGCCGCGGGGATTTGTCCTCCCTGCTCTCCATCCTCAGCTCCTGCCCTGGGGGAGGAAGGACAAGGAGAGGCTCTTCCTCTTCCTCGCAGCCTCCCAGGGGCTGGGAATGGGAACTCCTGGTTTGGGGAAAACAAGGGATGAGCACGTGGAGTTGGAAGCTCCCTCTGTCCCAGTCCATCTCTAGAAGTCCCTGCCCACTGGGCTCCATAAAAACCTCCCGAACACCGAGATCCAGCCCTGAAAAAGCCTCCCGGGAGTTCCCCGTCCCTGCTCCCACCCCTCCTTCTCTGCTCTGGGCTGCCGGGGCTCCAAGGAGTCCCCCCAAGGGGCCTTTTCCGCTCAGCTTCGCAGTTCTTCCTTCTCCAAACATCCCCCCAAAAAACCCAACCCAGGCACCCCCCGGGAGATCGGGCCCGAGCTCCCCCTCCCCGCTCACCTGCGGGATGGGGGGCGATGATCCCACAGGTGGGGGCTGCGAATTCAGGCAGGGCTGGACCGCGTGATTCTCTCTGCTCTGCTGGATCCGGTTTGTTCCTCCTCTTCCTCTTCCTGCCGCTCCTCCTCTTCCATCCCCTTTCCTCCTCCTCCTCCTCCTCCCTAAGCCCACCTCCTGCTCCTCCTCCATCCCTGCCCTTCCCTGCCTCCCCTTCCTTCCCCTCCTCCCGCTCTCTAATCCCGCCGCCTTCTCCTCCCTCATCCCTCATCTTCCATCGCTCCTCCTCCTCCTCCTGTGTGCCGTTCCCTCCTGCCTGTCCTCCTTTATCCCTTCCCTTCCATCCCCCCTCCTCCTTCCCCGTCCTCCCCCTCGCTATTCCCACCTCCTTCTCCTCCTTCATCCCTCCCCCTCCTCCTCCCCGGCAGCACCGGCAGGGACTGGGCTCTTACCGGAATCCTACTGGGATCCTACTGGGAGTGACAGGGACTGTACTGGCATCGTACTGGGATCATACCGGGATCATCCTGGGATCGAATGGGACTGTACTGGCTTTGTACTGACACCATAGTGCCCCACACAATCCCCGCTGCCGAAGGCCGAACCGTGAGGGGAAAGGGGGCGAGGAAATGGCGGGACCGTGAGGGGAAAGGGGCGAGGAAATACCGGGACCGTGAGGGGAAAGGGGGCGAGGAAAGGGCGGGACCGTGAGGGGAAAGGGGGCGAGGAAATGGCGGGACCGTGAGGGGAAAAGGGGCGAGGAAAGGGAAAACCGTGAGGGGAAAGGGGCGTGGAAATGGCAGGACCGTGAGGGGAAAGGGGGCGAGGAAAGGGCGGGACCGTGAGGGGAAAGGGGCGAGGAAATGGCGGGACCGTGAGGGGAAAGGGGCGAGGAAAGGGCGGGACCGTGAGGGGAAAGGGGCGAGGAAAGGGCGGGACCGTGAGGGGAAAGGGGCGAGGAAAGGGCGGGACCGTGAGGGGAAAGGGGGCGAGGAAATGGCGGGACCGTGAGGGGAAAGGAGTGAGGAAAGGGAAAACCGTGAGGGGAAAGGGGCGAGGAAATGGCGGGACCGTGACGGGAAAGGGGGCGAGGAAAGGGCGGGACCGTGAGGGGGAAGGGGCGAGGAAATGGCGGGACCGTGAGGGGAAAGGGGCGAGGAAATGGCGGGACCGTGAGGGGAAAGGGGCGGCTCAGGCCAAGGGCGGAACTGTGAGGGGACGCTCTGTGCGGCGGCGCTCTGCAAACAGAACTGCCACGGACTGGGAATGAACGGCAAATAAATCAGTAAGTCTAAAAGTTTTATTTGCTATCAAATACATCGCAGCCACCCAGCCCCACACAATCCCCATCCCATCGCTCTAAATTGGGATCCCACATCTCCCAGTCTCCTCCCAAACCCATCTCACCCTGGCAGCTGTGGTATCGAGTGAGTTTGGGGTGGGATTGAGTTTATTTTTGAGGTGGGAAGAAGCAATTTGAGGTGGGATTGAGTCTCTGACGGTTAAATTTCAGTTGTTTTCAGTGGGATGTGAGTGGTTTTGAGGTGAAAGATTGATCCCTCTTGGCTTTTGGAGCACAGAGAGGTGGAGAACAGAAAACAATGCAGGTAAACACAAAAGGAGAAGCAGCCAGGTGTGTTCCCAACATGGATCACAGGGAATGTGGGTCACCAGGGCTGTGCCCAGTGTGGGTCCTCCAGTGTGGGATGGAGTTTAGCTCTTCTCGCACTTGGGGCCCTCGAAGGGCTTCTCTTACCGGTGACTCCGTTGGTGTCGGGTCAAGGTAGAGCTCTGTGAGAATCTCTTCCCACACTTGGAACACTCGTAGGGCCTCTCCCCGGTGTGGATGCGGCGATGCCTGATGAGGGCGGAGTTGTGCCTGAATCCCTTCCCGCAGTCGGGGCAGCAGAAGGGCCTCTCTTCTGTGTGACTCCGATAGTGCCGGAGGAGATGGGAGTTTCTGTTAAACCTCTTCCCACACTCAGAACACTCGTAGGGCCTCTCCCCCGTGTGAATCCTTTGGTGCGTGATCAGACTGGATCTCTCGGTGAAGCTCTTCCCACACTCAGAACACTCGTAGGGCCTCTCCCCAGTGTGGATCCTCCGGTGGTTGATGAGGTTAGAGTTCCTCCTGAATCCCTTCCCACAGTCGGGGCAGCAGAAGGGCCTCTCCTCTGTGTGAATCCAAAAGTGTTGGAGGAGACAGGAGCTGGTCTGAAACGTCTTCCCACACTTGGAACACTCGTAGGGCCTCTCCCCGGTGTGGATCACCTGGTGCCTGATCAGGCTGGAGCTCTGTGAGAATCTCTTCCCACACTTGGAGCACTCGTAGGGCCTCTCCCCGGTGTGGATCCTCTGGTGCGTGATCAGGGTGGAGCTGCATATGAAGCTCTTCCCACACTCCCCACACTCGTAGGGCCGCTGACCGATATTACTCACCTGGTGCCTGATCAGGCTGGAGCTGTGTCTGAAGCTCTTCCCACACTCCCCACACTCGTAGGGCCTCTCCCCGGTGTGGATCCTCTGGTGCCTGATCAGGTTGGATCTCCACCTGAAGCCCTTCCCACACTCCGAGCACTTGTGGGGCTTCTCCCCATCATGGAGCTGCTCAGGGACCCCCAGCTCCGAGCTCTGGCTCCATCTCCGGCCGCCTCCTCGGCCCAGGGTGGGTCTTTCCCCCTCAGATCCCCGCGATCTGCCTTTGCAGCCCCTCCTCGTGCGGGATCTCCGTGGCTTTTCCTCCCCGTCGGGTTCCTGCGCCGTGGAGCCGCTCAAAACGGCCTCTCCCACCAGGTTCTGCCGCGGGGATTTGTCCTCCCTGCTCTCCATCCTCAGCTCCTGCCCTGGGGGAGGAAGGACAAGGAGAGGCTCTTCCTCTTCCTCGCAGCCTCCCAGGGGCTGGGAATGGGAACTCCTGGTTTGGGGAAAACAAGGGATGAGCACGTGGAGTTGGAAGCTCCCTCTGTCCCAGTCCATCTCTACAAGTCCCTGTCCACCTGGGCTCCATAAAAACCTCCCGAACACCGAGATCCAGCCCTGAAAAAGCCTCCCGGGAGTTCCCCGTCCCTGCTCCCACCCCTCCTTCTCTGCTCTGGGCTGCCGGGGCTCCAAGGAGTCCCCCCAAGGGGCCTTTTCCGCTCCGCTTCGCAGTTCTTCCTTCTCCAAACATCCCCCCAAAAAACCCAACCCAGGCACCCCCCGGGAGATCGGGCCCGAGCTCCCCCTCCCCGCTCACCTGCGGGATGGGGGGCGATGATCCCACAGGTGGGGGCTGCGAATTCAGGCAGGGCTCGACCGCGTGATTCCTCTGCTCTGTTCGATCCGCTTCGTCCCTCCTCTTCCTCTTCCTGCCGCTCCTCCTCTTCCAACCCCTTTCCTCCTCCTCCTCCTCCTCCCTAAGCCCACCTCCCGCTCCTCCTCCATCCCTGCCTTTTCCTTCCTCCCCTTCCTTCCCCCTCCTCCTGCTCTCTAATCCTGCCGCCTTCTCCTCCCTCATCCCTCATCTTCCATCGCTCCTCCTCCTCCTGTGTCCCGTCCCCTCCCGCCTGTCCTCCTTTATCCCTTCCCTTCCATCCCCCCTCCTCCTTCCCCGTCCTCCCCCTCGCTATCCCCACCTCCTTCTCCTCCTTCATCCCTCCCCTCCTCCTCCCCGGCAGCACCGGCAGGGACTGGGCTCTTACCGGAATCCTACTGAGATCCTACTGGGAGTGACTGGGACTGTACTGGCATCGTACTGGGATCATACCGGGATCATTCTGGGATCGAATGGGACTGTACTGGCTTTGTACTGACACCATATTGCCCCACACAATCCCCGCTCCCGAAGGCCGAACCGTGAGGGGAAAGGGGGCGAGGAAAGGGCGGGACCGTGAGGGGAAAGGGGGCGAGGAAATGGCGGGACCGTGAGGGGAAAGGGGCGAGGAAAGGGCGGGACCGTGAGGGGAAAGGGGGCGAGGAAATGGCGGGATCGTGAGGGGAAAGGGGCGAGGAAAGGGTGGGACCGTGAGGGGAAAGGGAGCGAGGAAAGGGAAAACCGTGAGTTAAAAGGGGGCGAGGAAAGGGTGGGACCGTGAGCTAAAAGGGGGCGAGGAAAGGGCGGGACCGTGAGGGGAAAGGGGGCGAGGAAAGGGCGGGACCGTGAGGGGAAAGGGGGCGAGGAAAGGGCGGGACCGTGAGTTAAAAGGGGGCGAGGAAAGGGCGGGACCGTGAGGGGAAAGGGGCGAGGAAAGGGCGGGACCGTGAGGGGAAAGGGGGCGAGGAAATGGCGGGACCGTGAGGGGAAAGGGCCGAGCTCAGGCCAAGGGCGGAACTGTGAGGGGACGCTGTGTGAGGCGGCGCTCTGCAAACAGAACTGCCATGGACTGGGAATGAACGGCAAAGAAATCAGTAGGTCTGAAAGTTTTATTTGTTATCAAATACATCGCAGCCCCACACAATCCCCATCCCACCGCTCTAAATTGGGATCCCACTTCTCCCAGTCTCCTCCCAAACCCATCTCACCCTGGCAGCTGTGGAATCGAGTGAGTTTGGTGTGAGATTCAGTTTGTTTTTGAGGTGGGAACAAGCAATTTGAGGTGGGATTGAGTCTCTGAGGGTTAAATTTCAGTTGTTTTCAGTGGGATGTGAGTGGTTTTGAGGTGAAAGATTGATCCCTCTTGGCTTTCGGAGCACAGAGGGGTTGAGAACAGAAAACAATGCAGGTAAACACAAAAGGAGAAGCAGCCAGGTGTGTTCCCAACATGGATCACAGGGAATGTGGGTCACCAGGGCTGTGCCCAGTGTGGGTCCTCCAGTGTGGGATGGAGTTTAGCTCTTCTCGCACTCGGGGCCCTCGAAGGGCTTCCCTTACCGGTGACTCCGTTGGTGTCGGGTCAAGGTAGAGCTCTGTGAGAATCTCTTCCCACACTTGGAACATTCGTAGGGCCTCTCCCCAGTGTGGATCCACCGGTGCCTGATCAGGCTTGAGCTCTCGGTGAAGCTCTTCCCACACTTGGAACACTCGTAGGGCCTCTCCCCAGTGTGCATGCGGCGATGCCTGATGAGGGCGGAGTTTTGCCTGAATCCCTTCCCACAGTCGGGGCAGCAGAAGGGCCTCTCCTCCGTGTGACTCTGATAGTGC